ATGGCTGCTGTTCTTATAGAGGCAATACTCAGCATCTGGCCTGGCAATGCCTACTTACCTTCCCACATTGGAGCAGAACAATGTTAATGTAAGGTCAAATATCAGTTATAAATGCCTTTATGAGATGGAAAAAAAAATGATGCAGAATTCTTGGATCAGGAGGTGGAAGGCACCATGGGAAGCCTGGATGAAGGAGGCTATGGAGAAAAAGGCAAAGATTTCATCAGATCTGCCAAAGGCCATGACAGACGAGACCAGCAGAGGACCCCACTGCATGATGCAGCCACCCTCTCTTGCAACACCCTTCTTCAGTAGCCCAGAATCAGAATCCCTTCCAAAGCAGCCTCATAGGCCTCTACCTTACATATGCCAATCACAATCAAGGCCTTCCTCCTCATTGCTGGTTCTAAAGCTGAGGTCACATTTTGCTCTGTTTGAGATTTTTGTTCCTGGTCTCACTTCTTCAACACATGCCCCAGCAAAGCCTCCTTTTCTCCACTCATTTCAGGTAAGCTCCTCTGGACACACTCCACCCTCTCTACAGGTCCTCTCATTTCCTCTTCATCCTCTACACCTCCTTTCCCCTGTTCCTCCCTCTTATCTCCATTCTCCCATCTCCGAGTGGATTTACAGTTGCTATAGTTCTTCTGAAAGACAGTAAGAAAGCAGTTTGGAGGAGATGAAGGAATCAAAGAAGAGGGAAGCCTGAGATCTATGTGCAAGTCCGTCCTGTTGACAGAGGCAGCCCTTTTAGATGCCATGGAACCCTGGTCCCATAGGAACCAGGACAGATGCAGACATTCATTGGGTCGATGCAACACGTGACTCTCAGGGATGTTCAGCCACAGTTCAGGGGCAGCAGTGAGGTGAAGGATGGGGAAGATGGCAGTTGAGACCCTAACCTGGAGGATGGATACTGGAACCTGTAGTCCTAACATATCATCACACAGGACACAGATTTCCAGCCTGGATCCTTCCTGTAGCACTACACCAAACCACGACTGTAGTTCAAGTACACCATTTCACTTTTCCCAAATAAAACCCGAAAGAATAAGGAAAGTGCCTCTCTTAGTGACTTTGACAGGACTTACTCAGCACTGAGGAGGATGGGACTCCACTGACCAATAGTGCTGCATCTTTCTCTTGCTTCACCTCAGATCTGTAGGAAAGACAGGATGTTATTTCCAAATCAACATCCTACTTGTGTGCCTTGACACATGGTAGGAACCATCGGAGCAGGCCCTCTCCTCCTCATTGCTGGCTCTTCCTAGCTCCCTCCCACTCTGCACTTCAGGGGAGGTTTGTTCCTGCTCTAGACTGTGTACGGCCCCTGTCACAAGTCAGCACACACATCTCTTTCATGTCATTTTGTTGACAGGAAGTTCCTCAGGACAGACTCTACTCCTTATTCTACACCAACTCTCATGTCCCCTATTCCTGTCTCGAAACTGTTTCCCCACTTAGTCCTCTTTATCTCCTTCACCCACCTCCATTCTCCAGAGGATTTGCACAGGTCTTGCTGTTTTGTCCATAAGGCAGTCACAGAGTAAGTTGGAGGGTTAAAGTGACCAAGATGATGAGC